TTGAGGTAAGAGGTAAAAATATTTGGAACGTGGCCTGTATAATTGATTTGGGTTAGCCATTTAAACAAAGATAGTTTTGTACTCTGTTGCAAGAGTTCAATCTTTTTTTTTTTTTTTTTTTTTTTGTAGAGACAGAGTCTTACTTTTTCGCCCTCAGTAGAGTGCAGTGGAGTCGCTCCACCAACCTCCAACTCCTGGGCTTAGGCGATTCTTCTACCTCAGCCTCCCAAGTAGCTGGGACCACAGGTGCCCGCCACAACACCCAGCTATTTTTTGTCGCGGTTTGGCCGGGGCTGGGTTCGAACCCGCCACCCTCGGTATATGGGGCTGGCGCCCTACTCACTGAGCCACAGGCGCCTCCCGCAAGAGAACAATCTTAAATAGTATCTGAAGAACTAGAATTTTAAAGTGGCACTTTTTTTTTTGTCTTTTAAAGATCCGCCTTTACACAGCACAGCTATATATGATGATGAGGAAGAATTCTCCAAACACTGTGGATTATCCATCCCTTCAACTCCTCCAGGACAAGAAGCAAAATGGTACAGTTATATTTCAAGAAATTGTTTAACCTTGGTTATTGGGATTTCTGAGGAACTCTTTTAAGATGGAAGTTAATAAAACTAAAGCTTTTTAAGATCTTTTGAGCCAACTTGTTATGTGTTTCCTTAGGAGAACTGGGAGATAAAAATTTTTTAATAATTGGTATTGCTTATAATAATTATGATAATTACAGTGATTTTTTTTGTAATTCACATCTGATTAGCCTAGAAAACATGTCTATGAAGGTAGCTTAGCTTTGAGGTAGAACAAACAAGAAAAGAGGGAAAGATTTTATGAGCATAAGATTTTAGGTGATTTTGGCAGGTCCCTTTAATTTACAAATTCTCTATCACAAATTAGATGTTTTCTTCTATGTAGTAGGTGACAATTATAAAGGAAATATAGTTGCTTTTGGATATGTTTTCCTGAAGTTGGAGTCCTACAAATTTATATGAAGGTGTAGGTCAGGTCAACCTCTATAAAAATGATTTTATAGAGACAACTTGAAAACTATAACGAAAAACTCTTCAATAATTATATTACTAATTGCAAATTATTAACTAGAGCAACTCCTTGGCTTAAGAACCTCAGTTAGGTACTGCGTCAATTCTAGTTATTAAACGTAGTTGGCAAGTAGTAAAACTGGTTTTAAACACATAGCCCAGTTAGGGAGAAATCTGAATGAGGAAGTCATTTTCAGGTTGTGTGCATTGGAAACTTTATAGCACTTGGTTATTTTGGTGTCTCCAGTTCTTTATACGTTTCTGGAAATCACGAAGGGCCAAATATTTGGGAAAACATGCACTCTACACAGTGGTGCATATAATGGTTGAAGAGGAATTTTTGGAATCAGTAAGGTATTCAAATGGTTCAGAAACATAAAAGGGTTTATAATAAGTCTTCATCTCAATTCTGTCATCACTCTGCTCATGGAGCCCAATTTTTTGTGTCCCCTTTTACTTCTCATTATTAATTTCTTTTCTTTCTTTTTTTTTTTTTTTTGCAGTTTGGCCAGGGCTAGGTTTGAACCTATTGCCTCTGGCATATGGGGCCAGCACCCTACTCCTTTGAGCCACAGGCACCGCCCTCATTATTAATTTCTTATATGTTCTTTCACAGTTTCTCAATGCATGTGAAAGTAAATGAGAATCCAAATTTTTCTCCTTTGTATGTAGAAAACGCAGCATACCTTGCTCTCTAGTCTTTTCACTTAATCTGTCTCTAAGATGACAGTGTACACAGAGCTGTCTCCTTGTCACCCTTGCGGGCATGTCACAACTGGTGTTCTGCAGTGTGTCTGCCCAGCTGGCATGGATGGGCATTCAGTGTCTGCAGTCTCTGCTGCCATGCCCAGTGCGATACCAGGGACAGGAGCATGTCCAGGGCACACACATGCCTTTGTCTACAGGATAAATTCATGAAAGTGAAATCTTGGGTCACATGAAATGTACAATAGTCATTTGTGTAATTACTGTCACATTGCCAACCAGGGAGGTATCAAACTTGTATTTTTGCCACCGTGCTAGCTCAAACATGCTCTCTCAGTTCCGTTTCCATGAGTGTTTTTCTTATGAATGATCGAGCAACATCTGTTCGTATATTTGCAAGCCCTTGAATTTCTCTTTCTGGAAGCTTTTTATGTCTCTTTCCCCTTTTTGCTAGCTGTTGGTCATTTTCTTCCTGACTACACTGACTTCATTGAAACATCATTGAGATGAGCCCCTTGTTACAGATTTGTTTTGCTAGTTCATCTGTCTTTTGACAACACACATAGGCAGTGTTTATTTTTATGTAGATGTGGTATTACATGTGTCATTCTTTCAGGATTTAGGAAATTGAGGTCACAGGAGGGCATCTCCCTTCACGTTTTCTTCATATTGAAATCCTTCGTCCTTTCTATCCCTGTGTGAGGTGTGGAGCCAACACTTTGTCTCTGTTCTAGATGGCTACTCTCTTGTCTCAGTGCTGTTTATCACATGTCCCTTCTTTCCTCTGCTGATGGAGTTGTCACCACTTTTTTTTTTTTTTTTTTTTGAGACAGAGCTTTAAGCTGTCACCTTGGGTAGAGTGCTGTGGCATCACAGCTCACAGCAACCTCCAACTCCTGGACTTGAGCAATTCTCTTGCCTCAGCCTCCCAAGTAGCTGGGACTACAGGTGCTCACTACAATGCCCGGCTACTTTTTGGTTGTAGTTGTCATTGTTTGGCAGGCCCAGGCTGGATTCGAACCTGCCAGCTCTAGTGTATGTGGCTGGTGCCTTAGCCACTTGAGCTACAGACACCAAGCCTGTCACCTCTCTTATGTGTCACGTTCCATCCATACCAGGTGTATTCTCGACTTCCTGTTTTGTTCAGTGGGTTTTCTGTGTAGCCCTGCTCCATTGCTGTCCTTGTGGTTGTTGAGGCTTTGTGATGTGTTTAAAGTGTCCAGTGGTGCCGGCTATTCCCTCATTGACTGGTACAGTCTTGGCTGTCCTGCGTTTTGTTTATGTGAAAAGCAAAAATAACTTAATTTTATTGGGTTAGTTTTATAAATTAAACTAGAAAGAGTATTTGATGATTTTTCCATTTGTTCAAGTTCTGTCTTTTAGTGCTGTTCAGAATTTTAATTATATTGGTTTTGTACATTTCCTAAATTTATTCCAAGATGATTTGTCTTTTTGTGTGTTTGGTAATTATTATTTTATATGTGGAGTCTTTTCTTACATTTTATCTTCGTTGCTGTGGTTGATTTTATATGTGAAAGCTATAAATTATGTACATTAAATTTTTTACTATAGGGAATTCATTTTTAATTTAATTTTCTAAATTATTGAACATTTAGTATTTGCCAAATACTCTTATAGATTCTAGAAAGTAGAGATGAAGAAGAAACAGATCCCTAAAAATAGACTATTCATGTTGCTTAATACTGAGTTATGCTGAGTTATGCATTTTACCAGAATTCACCTATTGAAATAATTATGTGTTTTTTACTCATTTGACCCACATTGACAGTTTTACTAAGATTTCCTATGTTATAAACTATCTGGCTCAGCGCCTATAGCACAGTGGTTACAGCGCTAGCCACATGCACCGAGGCAGGTGGGTTCAAGCCCAGCTTGGGCCAGCTAACCAGTAATGACAACTACAACAACAACAACAAAAATAGTCAGGTGTTGTGACAGGCTCCTATAGTCCCAGCTACTTAGGAGGCTGAGGCAGGAGAATCGCTTAAGCCCAATAGTTGGAGGTTGCTGTGAGCTGTGACCCCACAGCATTCTACCAAGGGCAACATTGTGAGACTCTTGTCTCAAAAAAAAATAAAAATGAAATAAAAACTATCTTTGCATTCCTGGCCTAAAAAGCCTCCCTTGCTGGATTTGGCCACTTGCTGATCTCAGACTTCTAGGTGTGTTCTTCAGGCCTCCACGTGGCCCATTCATCCCCCGTGTCTGCCGCTGCTCTCTGCTGCCTTTCACATTCTACATGTCACCTCCTCACAGCCCTCTGCTCTGACCCCACACAGGAACTATCACCATCTCCACTAACATGCTTTCTTTACTGTGATCTTTCTCCACAATAGAAATAGCTTTAAAAAAGGGCGGGACTTGGCTCTGTTCAGAGCTATCTATACCCAGGTTCTTAAGGCACGACTTGGCTGTATAGACACTCAGCAAATACGGAAGTCATCCTTTATTCATGAAGTATAGTGTTGTGGTCAAGGCGACTGACCTGGGACCCATTGTGTAGGACTCAAATCCCTGTCCTGCCCCTACTAAGTATTTGACTTTGGGGAAGATGTTGCTTCCAGGGTCCATCATCTGGAAAGGGTTGATGATACAACCTGGCTTGTGTGATTGTTTTAAAGAGGTTGGAAAGGGTCGCTGTGGGAGGTGATGCCCAGATATCTGGCTTGTATAGTGGATTGACACTGGTGGCCAGACTAAGGTACGCGCTGACGGAAGACTAGGTTTTGTGGAGAGACCATGATGTTGATGGGAAGACCTCAGAGGGGCCTTTGTGTGCCTGAGTCTGGAGTTCAGAGGGGAGGTGGGGCCTGAGATTATTCGCACAGGGGCAGTGCGTAGCTGGTCTGAGGGCAGTGAGAACAGGGTTTGTCCTAGCCTCTTGTCTCTGCTGTCTGGGTGGAGGAGGAGAAAGAAGGAAGGAAGAAAAACCAGGAGAGTGTTTAGGGAAGTACTAGGGTGTGTCTCTGTGTGTGTATGTGTGTGGTCAGGAGGGTCAAATGCAGCTAAGCAGTTAAAGCAAAGACTGACAAGATTTATTGCATTTAACGATAAATCCGGTTGCCAGATGCTCTTGGTAACCCTGGTTTTGATAGCATTTTGGTGGCATGATAAGTCCAAACAAAATATTTCATTTGGGTTTTTCAGTTTCTTGCTGAATACAAAAGAAAAGGCAGAGGGATGCCCTGGAGAGAGACTGCATTTCCCAGCATTCATTAACCAGACCCCCAACCCTACATAGGGATGGATGTTCAGATTTTCTGATCTTGGGTCTCCTCCTGTCTTCCCTGTATGTGCAGCTGGGTCTACTCTGAGCTTGCTCTTGCCCTGCCCCAGTTCACTGTCATGGTTTAACTCCCTGTGTGCTACTGTTTCGACATCTGTCTCTTGTCTCTCCCTCCTACAAGTCACAAGATGTCCTGTGTGTTGGTCACACTTCCCTGGATATCCATAGACACTGTGGACTTGACCACGGCAAAACCCAGCTCCAGCCTCTTTCTCATTTCACGGCACTGAACTCCTTTAGTCCTGTGAATTCTTTGGGAATTAACAGTCCTGGTAGCTACATAGTCCCCTCACATCCAGATCTGGGGATCAGTCCTGCCATTTTCCTCTATCTGGTCCATCCATCCTACCCTAGCCAGGGTGCGCCTTAAAAATCCATTTCTTGTCTCGGCACCTGTGGCTCAAGCGGCTAAGGTACCAGCCACATAGACCTAAGCTGGCAGGTTTGAATCCAGCCTCAGCCTGCCAAACAACAATGATGGCTGCAACCAAAAAATAGCTGGGCGTTGTGGCAAGCGCCTGAAATCCCAGCTACTTGGGAGGCAGAGGCAGGAGACGCGCTTGAGCCCAGGAGTTGGAGATTGCTGTGAGCATGATGCCATGGCACTCTACCCAAGGCTACAGCTTGAGGCTCTGTCTCAAAAAAAAAAAAAATCCATTTCTCCTCTCCATGCTGTCACCACCTCCCTGTGGCTGCCACTGTTCAGGGACTTTCACTTTGCCCATCGTTCCTGCTGACCAGTGTTCCTGCTGCAGTTCTTCCAGGTTTCCTTGTCTCTTGAATTCCCTCTTTGTGGACCTCTCACCCACACAACTTCCAGAGTGATCTTTTATTTTTTTTAGAGACAAGGTCTCTCTGGTGACCAGGCTATAGTGCAGTGGCACTGTCATAGCTTGCTGCAGCCTGTGGGCTCTGGGTATCTTCCTGCCTCCTTGCGTCAACCTCCTCAGTAGTTGGTACTGCAGGGGCACACCCCCATAGCCCAGCTAGGTTTTTCTTTCTTTCCTTTTTTTTAAGAGACGGAGTCTTGCTGTGTTGTTCATGCTGGTCTCAAACTCCAGGCCTCAGGCAATCCTCTCTCCTCAGCATCCCAAAGTGCTGGGATCACAGGTGTGCGCCACCATACCCAGCCTCAGAGTGATTTTTCTAAAACACAAGTCTTGGCTCGGTGCCTGTGGCTCAAGCGGCTAAGGTGCCAGCCACATACACCTGAGCTGGTGGGTTCAAATCCAACCCGGGCCCGCCAAACAACAATGACGGCTATAACCAAAAAATAGCTGGGTGTTGTGGCGGGTGCCTGTGGTCCCAGCTACTTGGGAGGCAAAGGCGGGAGACTCGCTTGAGCCCAGGAGTTGGAGGTTGCTGTGAGCTATACCATGGCACTCTACCCAGGGGGACAGCTTGAGGCTCTGTCTCAAAAAAAAATAAAACTTTATTCACCATACTTCGCACTTTGAGATTGGTGTAAAATAAATGTTGTACTGAATCAAATGAAAAGATGAAAGAATTAAGTGTAAAAGAAAGTATTCCTTTGTTTTTTGAGACAGAGTCTTACTTTGTCGCCCTCAGTAGGTGCTGTGGCGTCACAGCTCACAGCAACCTCCAATTCTTGGGCTTAAGCGATTCTCTTGCCTCAGCCTCCCAAGTAGCTGGGA